CGTTGTAAAACAAGCCAATTCACTTCGTGAACTCGGCAACCAGGTTACCGTGTATTTTCCTTTACCTCTGGTTTTTTTTGGCGGTAACCATAATGGTGGTTGAGTAGATCATGTTGTGCGGGGGGGGAGAACCCTCATTCCGCGCAAGGGGGATGATCGCACCACGCTGTGTTAAATTGGTCAAGCACCCTCGAGGCAGTTACACAGCGCTTACAACTGTTTCTACAAGTAAAAGCACCAGAAAACAAATTACGTCATACGCAGCTGTCATCCGTACGCAAGGAAGTAAGCACAAGATGCCGAACACCCTTAGCAGGATGCAGCGCACCCTTCATGCGACTCGCCGAATATCTCACGGCGCTTCGCGCTTGGTGATGTGAGAGCCTGGTCCGGTGAGAACCCGGCGTGCTCCGTCCCGGCTTTGTAGGGATGCGAGGTCAATGGTCTAACGACTACGGCATGCACGACTATGAGTACACCCCCCCCCCCCCGGTGTTTGCCTATCGGGATTGGGTTTTCGTCGCTTGGCAACGACGTTGTAAAACAAGCCAATTCACTTCGTGAACTCGGCAACCAGGTTACCGTTTTTTTTTTTTTCCTCCGTTTATTTTTTTTGGGCGGTAACCATAATGATGGTTGAGTAGATCATGTTGTGCGGGGTGAACCCTCACTCCGCGCAAGGGGGATGATCGCACCACGTTGTGTTAAATTGGTCAAGCACCCTCGAGGCAGTTACACAGCGCTTACAACTGTTTCTACAAGTAAAAGCACCAGAAAATAAATTAATTCATACGCAGCTGTCATCCGTACGCAAGGAAGTAAGCACAAGATGCCGAACACCCTTAGCAGGATGCAGCGCACCCTTCATGCGACTCGCCGAATATCTCACGGCGCTTCGCGCTTGGTGATGTGAGAGCCTGGTCCGGTGAGAACCCGGCGTGCTCCGTCCCGGCTTTGTAGGGATGCGAGGTCAATGGTCTAACGACTACGGCATGCACAACTATGAGTACACTCCCCCCCCCGCCCTACAACACAGCAGTCAGTGATACATAGGTTACCTACCCAGTAGCCGCTAATATCGTCCGTGGCATTTTCAAGCGAAGGAAACGACGCTCGAACCTCCCTTCGTTCGCCTCTTTTGCCCGTACAACCGGAAACACCAAAACAACGACCAGGAGGACAGCCCAGAACACGTACACGAAAGGCAACATCGACAAAGGAGGATCGGGGTGGTGGAAGGAACAAAGCGAAGGTTTTCACGCAGGTTAACTCCGCAGGGGGGTGGGGGGGGTGGGGGGTACAATGAATCGTCCCCTTATGCAAACACTCACGTCGGGTCCGACGACAGCCCGCATCTTGGTGGCGTGCATGCCGAGGATGGCGGATTGGGGGGGGTTGATGATGGGCGTGCCCATGAGAGATCCGAACACGCCTCCGTTGGAGATGGTGAAAGACCCTCCAGCCATGTCTTCGAGCGCCAGAGATCCCTGCCGTGGCGGTCGTGTATAGGTAGCATCGTCAAGAAGGCCGGCATAAGGACAGACGCGGGAAGGGGGAAGGGGGTGCGAGGGTGGGTCACACCGCGGTCCTGAACACTCCAACAAATGCTGACGCAAACCGAGGAAGACCAGTTGGATCGGACGTACGTAAGTAGTGGGGACTCGAGCAAAAACTTCGCGTTGTCCACAACCATCTGGACCAACAAAGATATGGCATCCGACCACCCGTGTGTAGGCGCACAGAAAGCCACCCATCCGACGAAGAGGGTTGTGGTCCAGTGCAAGTTACCCCGGCACGGAACCCTCCGGCGTTGTAGGCGGGTGTGGGAAGCGTTCCCCGTTCTCCTTTTATTTTATTTTGATCGGTCTCCTCGACGCTCTTTCTCGTTTGGTGCGGTAGCTGGTCTTTCTTTCTATCATTTTGTTTCTCTTCCGAGTGGTTTTTGTACCCTATTTTTTTCTGTTTCTTCGTGGGGTCGTGTATGCCGGGTTTTGAGACCACGGGCTCCCAATCTCTCTTTTTTAGAGCTAATGTGAGAAACAACAACAACAACAACAACAACAACACCCTGTTCCAGATACACCTGGCTAGGCAGAGCCAGCCCTTCTTGCTGGCCAAGCAAAGCCACTTCTTGCTTCAACGCCTCTCGTAGCGAGGCCTACGGGAGGCAAGTGTTTTCCAAAAAAAGGGCTGATGGCTTCATTTCCCCCCGTCGATTAAACCAATCCGACCCGACAACAACCGAGGCCTTGTCTGGGAGGATGTCAAGGTGCATACTGGTATGTTTGTGAACACTAGCCTAAAGACATAATGGGTGGGGCGCCTCCTCCGACCCCCAAGGTACAAGAACATTTTTCCGAATATGTGCTGTGGTGGTGTATATTCGTAAACACCAGCCTAACGAAATGAGGAACAGTGCACCTCCTCCAACCTCCTACAAGGAACAATATTTACGAAAACATGCTTCGTATTGGTTGTTTCGCAGACACATAGCTTCTGCCCGCCGCGTTGTCTGAGGCAGGATACGCCAAACGTTTCGAAGCGAAAATCGCACAACACATGGTGCAATCTCTTGGCGACGGGATAAAATCAGCCTTCAATAACACAACGACCAACAATCTCGCATACCGCGCACGTTGCGATCACCACGCACGCACCTCTTTCGCTTTCCTGCCGTACTCTGCGATGGCCTTCTCCACGTCCGCGAAACCTGGGTACCGAACGACCGAGCGGTGTTGGCAGATCAGGTGCGGGCACAAGCACGCGAATAGCGCCGCAGGGACGGAGACAAACCAGCGCGGCATACGTCCACAGCAGCGACACGCAAAAACCAATTGAATTCCGAGAGGTGTCGGCAAGAGGTTATTGCAACCGCGGGGGNGGGGGGGGGGGGGGGGGGAATGTGTACGTTGAAAGCGGGTGCAGGCTTGGGTGCTGTTGCAGAGAATTGACCAGATCGGCGACGAGACGAACGATCATGGTCAAGAACTACCGTAGGACCACCGGCGAGTGTGCGTGCCTCGGTGATTTTGTCTGTCCCCCCCCCCCCCCCCCCCCCCCCCCC